CAAACTACCCTTAGACAACAGCTCTGAAAAGCAGGAGTCATTGGCGAATGCCAAGCTAACAGAGATCCTCATCCTCTTGAATGAAGAGCTTGTTGAAAAGCAGAGGTAGTGGCTTATAGAAGGTAATTTGCGTGAGTGTACCAGTTAGGTACAGCTTGAGTAATGCCTACCATTAGTGTCAGATATCTGTTTTATTACTAGCAGAGCAATGAATAGCTATTGTGAATATAATGGCTGGAGTAAATGACTTCAGTATTTCCGCTTCACGGCAGAATTGTCCGATTCCTTGATTTGCATTTTCTCCTCCTCTTCACTGATATTTTTGCCCAGCTGGTGTAGGTGTCCGTCTTTGGCTACTCTGTACCTGTTAGCTCCTGTTTCATCAAATTTTATTGTTCTCAGTTTTGTGTGAAGTTCCGTCCTTTCATGCTAATGGATTAAAAAAAATCAACTATTTGCAATCATGGATTTTATTTATTTAGCAGATACTAAGGTGGTTTACAGCAGAGTCAGACCATCCTTGGAGCAGCTGGGCCTTGCTCAGGGTCCCAGTGGGAAAATCACTCTGCTAACTTTGGGATTTGAACTTGTGACCTACCTGTCACAGCTACATTACCACCCCCTGGTACTTTCATTGTCATAAGACTAGTTATTATATGTTTAGCCAAAGGAGATGGTTTTGCATGGTCCCATTTAGTCTATGACCAGGACACATCATGTGACCTTTCTATAAGGGTTCCAAAATGCCGGTAAATGCTTTTGGCGTTGATTGATCTTGTAGGCTGGGGGGCGGGGGATGGGCGAGACCAGAAGGGAGAGAATGTAAAGGAAGGTGAGGGAGAGGCAGCACCAATGGAAGCTGCAAGTGCGGGAAGATGGAAGCGTTGTGCAGCCGGCCATGGGGTCCTCGTGCTGGTTGACCGCGCTCTAGCACGCATGCTGGGAGAGTGCGGGGCAGCGTGTGGCCCAGCGTGTGGCCCAGCGGGTTCGGACACGGTGCCTGTTATCAGAAGGCCACAGGTTGCAATCCCACACTCACCAGCGTGATTTCTTGTTGGGTCCTTGAGCAAGGCCCTTAACCCCGTTTGTGAAAGAGATTGCTTTCTCAAAAAAGTAATTTCTTATTAATAAAATGTAACAGTCCATCCATCTTTCAGCTTTGGTTGGGCCTGGCTGAGTTTTGTTGGTGGGGGGCTAAAGCCTTTCCCAGGCAGCAAAGGGCATGAGGCTGTGTACACCTGGACGGGTCATCGGTCCAGCGCATTTCGGATAACAGCAGTGGCATGATGACCTCACACCTCCAGGGCCGTGACTTTTTGTTAATCAATATATTTATTTATCCATCCATCCGTTTTCCAACCCGCTTATCCGTCTGGGTCGCGGGGGGTCTGGAGCCTATCCCGGAAGCTATGGGCATGAGGCGGGAAACAACCCAGGATGGGGGGCCAGCCCATCGCAGTATATTTATTTAGCAGATGACAAGTTAGAAGGCAGGGTCAGACAGTCCCTGCAGCAATTGGAGGTTAAGGGCCCAGCTGTGGAATCACTCTGCTGACCCTGGGATTTGAACCAGCAACCTTCTGATAACCTTCGGAGCTACACTCTGCCCCCAGTATATGCATGATGTTCTCAGTATGTTCAAGTGGGTTTCCTCTCGTAGTCTAAAGACATGTGGATTTGTGTCCACATTGCATTTTGTGTGTATGTGCGTGCCCTGTAATGGACTGGCATTCAGCGGCATGCATTCGCTGGAATCGGCTCCAAGCTTCCCACAACCCTGCACTGGATGCGCAGTTAGGGGATACGGATGGATAATAATCAGGCTCCATTTATTGTTATCGCCAAGCGGCAAGGCGGATGGTTTGTTAACGACACAGATCGGAATGATGCTGATTTGAATTTTAGACGCTTTAAGGTGTAGTACCCATGAGAATGATCTTCAGCCTGAGTTACTACAGTAAAATTTCCTCTCCTATAAATATTGAAATATAGGTTTCCCTGGATTCATGTGTCTGTAAAGCCATACAATAATAATATTTTATTTCTGGGCTGATTAACTGCTGAATATAAATTCAGGGGGCTTTTTTTGGAGATCACTACACTGTCGCTGTCCCTTTGAGACCTACCCATAACTTCTCAGTCTAATCTCGATCTACCATTAAACAGCTCTGTTCTGCTGTTTCCTCTTATTTTATATGGTAGGTGTTTTTGGGTGCTGATTCATAGCACTTCTCACTAAAAGTTTGTAGTATACCTCTGTACATCAGCATTCCTAATTGAAGGCTTGTTGATATACTGCTGCACGTCAAAGCGTTTCTCAAAGAAGGTTTACTCGTATATTACTCAAAGGCAGAACACAATAATTATGCTGACAGTGAAAATGGGAAAAGGGGCTTCAAAGTTATCTGACTGTCCACCCGTGTGTGTACAGTAGCAGCTCCGTAAATGATGGGGTTTTCAGGAAAACCCAGCGTCGTCAAACTAAGATCTTTAATGAGATTAAGGATCACAATTTCAGTCATAACTCACTTTTCATAAAATACACTTAGCTGTCATGGTGTTTTGCCTTTGCACAGAGTTACTGTACATGACAGCATTTATGAATGAAGGTTTGTTGCTATATTATTACACATTACAGGGTTTCTTTATTCTTTGTTTGTGTCCTGCTGTACATCACAGCTTTTTTTGGGGAAGGTGTGTTAACATGCCACTTTACCCTTTACTTGTGATTGTCGGTGTAGATACTTTTAATTCTGCCACTGTCGAGGGAGCCTCGCTCTCTCTAAATGGATCAGTAATGGAAGAAGCACTTCAGGCTTCACCCAGTACATAGACGATGTATTTTTTCAAAGAAACTATTTTCTAGAGATGAGAAGACTGGGGCGGGGGGGGGGGGGGGGGGGACATATCAGGAGGTGTATAAAAGAAAGTTCCTCTGTTGTCAAAGAAGTGATGCTTGTCTGAGTTACGGCAACATCGATATCAATAAAAACAGCCCGAAGTGATAGTAAATATGATGGGGAAAGGCCAAACATAAAACCCGACTCTAAAAGTTATGGTCAACGGAAACCGGCGGGTGATTAAAATCGCATAAAGTATTTATGAAAAAGTTCCAATTAAAGATGATGAAAACCTGAATTTAAGAAGGGGGCTTTCATCCTTTCGTGGCATTAACGGGCTTTCGATCCCGTTCGCCAGCGAACGGCGGCTGCGTTTGACCACCGAAACCTAATGGCCACATTTGTCAACGTGACGTCTAATTGCGTTTCCGAGGAGCGGTTATTGCGTTATAATGCCGTTATCTGTTTTAACTGTCGCTAATTGCCCGCCCCTCATCCTGGATGCCAGCGTGCTCTTCTCTCCCGCCCCCCCAGTTTAGAAACGACATCGTCGGGAGAAAGATGGATGGATCTCCGGAAAGCCTTCGGATCGCCGATGAAAATGTTTAATTAATGGAGTTCACGTGGCGCCGTTGTGTGTATGAGTGGCTTGAATATGATTGGGCAGCGAGGCGGGTGACAGGGAGTTTGTTTTTTGCCGTAGCTCTGCATCAATCACCGGGCGCGGTGCGGGTGGGCCTGAACTGGCCGGATCTCCTGCATTTCTCACTCCAACGGCCACCTCTGCTCAGGGGGCGTCCTCACCGGGACGGCCTCTCAGCCGCATGATGTCTTGCCATCTGTGTACAAGGCTGGACTGGCCATCTGGCATACAGGACATTTTCCCGGCGGGCTGAAGGGGTTGCCGGCCGGCAAGATTTGTTTTGCTCAGAAAAATTCATGTGTAGGTATGTATGTGTGCCGGACCTCTATGGGCAAAGGTCCAGGGCCTATTTTTAATCCCGGTTCCACCCAGCCCTGTATCCAATGGACCTTCCCATTCTGTTGGCATTCCCGTAGCCCCGGACCTTCGTGATTGGCGGAGCAGACTGGCCTTCTGTCAGGTGACGTCCACACTTGTGGCCCCCGTGACCCCATGGTAGGTGCTGATGTCTGCCTGCCCCTGATGCACAGAGGTGCCGGCTGTGGCCGTCAGCTCCCGGGTCTCCCATCTCCTGCCTAAGTGCCAAATTGTGGGCGCTGGGTTTTACTTTGGGTTTGTTTCAGACAGCAGGGGGATACCCAGGCTTAACACCTTTTATGCGATTGATTCCAGTCAAAAAGGTAAACAGAGTCACATGAGATGAGGCTGGAGAGGGAACTTTATTAAGATGGGGGGGAGGATAAACATTTGGTTTTAGCTGGGGGGACATACTGTATGCATCTGAGGGAACTGGTGAATGAAGGGCATTTTTCACCCAATTTGGTCCTGCCCTGAGATGTCCATGATCCCCCCTTCCATTTTACACCCCCGATCACACAATGGTACCTTCCAGAAGCGTTAATATAACCAGGTCTCTGACATCTGAAAATTACATCAGGATGTAACATTATATATGTTTTATTATCACCAATCAATATCATTTTTCATTTATCATTACAGAGATATTCTATGTGCAAGGTTGTATTGAAAAATAAGCTGTGGAAAGCTGGCAAATCCAAATCCTGATTTTTTTTTTATAGGGCACTCTGAAACCAATGCAATGCAAATATGTTATTGTTAGATTCTGTACTGTAGTCCTTGAATATTACATTTATGTTTCATTTTGTAACACGGTGGGGTTGATAAATGCATGGATTTGATGGTGTTATTGCTTTATTACAAACCCCGTCCCCATCGCATGCATCTGAATCAGTGAATTGTTTATTACTAACAGGTGCTGGTAATTAGCTAATTGGCTGTTTGCTGGAATTGCTCCTGAAATGAATGAATTAGTGCCGAAAAGTGTTCATGTTCTCCCTCTTTATCTGGAGGGAAAAAAGATTATGACTGTATATTAAAATTCCTGATGGCGACCAGACAGGAACGGATTCGCTATCCCGCTGAGAAGCTCCCCGATTTGGCCGCTTGGCATATGGGAGATTGTGACCTGTAGCTCTGCTGTGCCGTGTGCCCCTCAGCCGCCATCTTGGACGATCCCATGGAGTGCAGCCGGGGGGAGCGGCTGGCCATCACCTTGGCCAAAGAGGGAATCAACCGAGCCAGCAACCGCTCCACCACGGGCAAGCTGGAAGTGGACATCTTCGAGCTTCTAAGGGACAGCGAGTACGAGACCGGGGAGACCAGTAAGTTCCGGGCCATTCCGTTGGGGTGAGGAGCAGGAAATGAAGTGGTGCTTTATTTGCCATTTGTCGGAATCCAGGTACATTGAAATGCTTCTTTTCACATATCCCATCATGCTCTCTATTGAGACACACACACATATATACAGATGAAAACAAAGCTTGCAGTCCAAGTGCAGGGTCAAGCCATTTATCCGGCGCCTGTGGAACATTTTTGGGGGGGGGGGGCTAAGGGCCTCGCCAAAGGGCCCAATGGGCATATGACTACTCTGCCAAGGACGGGATTCAAACCAGGGACTTCTCTATCACAACCGCACAAGGTCTCTTACTATCAGGGACAGGATAAGGGCTTAAGGAGATACTAGAGAAATTCTATTGGTCCAGCCTCTATTCTATTGGTCCAACCTCTATTCTATCGGTCATCGCTGTGGTGCTGAACAGCCTCTATTCTATCGGTCAGCTCTCCGGTGCTAAACAGCCTCTATTCTATCGGTCAGCGCTGTGGTTGTGAATAGCCTCTATTCTATCGGTCAGCTCTCCGGTGCTGAACAGCCTCTATTCTATCGGTCAACGCTCCGGTGCTGAACAGCCTCTATTCTATCGGTCAGCATTATTTTCCCTTTGCAGCCAGGTTAGTGCTGGAATGACGGGCGAGATGACTTGTCATCCAGGAGACGGCTGTAATGAAAGGGTTTAGGAAGGGAGCAAAGCCAAACACCTGCAGACTGCACTGCCTTTGGGGTCTGCAGTGCCTAAATGAAATTATGGAGGTAGTGTTTGAAACAGCTTTTAATTTATTTATTGCACGGAACATTTGTCTTTGTTTTTTTTTTTTTATTGTTCTCCTGTCATGTCTCTCCGTTGTGTTATTAACTTCTGTCCCTGGATGCTCAAAGCAATTTTTTAGGAATTATATATAGCATTGTCGTACTTTTACTGTATTAATTGTAATTGGTTACAGCGGCACATGACACTGAGCGTGAATAGCTTCCAGACGGAAATGCTTAAACAAATGGAGAGCCCTCTAAGTTAAGCATATGCAGAGGGATGGGAGCCTGCTCAGGGGGGAAAACGATGGGTTTATTTCCTGGTAAGTGACAGATTCTGAGAGGAGAACGATGATTTTGAGTAATTGAAGGGACCCGAGGGGGGGGGGGATTGCAGGTCAGAGCATCGAGCTCTGATGCTCTGTGGTGGGGAAAGCTATGGAGGACAGTCATTTCCAAATAGAAGCTTGTCTTCCTGGAAGCAGGTTATTATTGTTAATGAAAACCGCAAGTATGAGAAAACATTTTTGTATACTGAAATAGAATGAAATCCATCCTTTTTCCATACCCATTTGTCCTATGTGAGGCTGTGGGAGTCCTGAACACTTGAAAGTTACGGCGTAAGGCAGGGAATAACCCAGGACGTGGCACCAACCCATCGCAATAAAATAAAATATGGAAATAAAATTAAAAATACAATAAAACGAAAAATATAGACGTTTTCAAAACTAACCGAAATAAAATAAAAATAAATGTCTACTTTACTTTCCATTACCGTTTTAAATTACATTTAGATAAAGTAATGGTTTGTTCATTTTCCCTTCTTTATGGAAATCATTCAAGGCAACATAATCCAGCGCATTGCCTTGAAGTGACCTTTAAAAATACCTGGAACATGTTTTTGCCCATTTTGAGGACAGTAGAACATAATGTGTACTGTGTATTCGTGTAGGATTCGCTAAAGATCAGACACATTAAATAGCCCTACAGCATTTTTTACCAAGAAATAACACTACTAAAAAAAACTAAATGGAAATATACCTTTAAATAAAAACTAATAAATCCACACAGAGAAATAACTAATAGTAAACTGGATTTCTAATGAAAATTGCAAATAAAAACTAAATTAAAAAATGAAAGCCATAACAACATTGACCTGGACTCGCAGATAGATTGGAGAGGATGGAGAAATGCCAGACGCTAGGATGGAGGGTTATGGGGCAGGTATGTCCACACAACAGCAGTAGTACGCAGCGCACTGAGGGGGCGATGTGAGGTAATTACCAATCAGGTGAGGCGAAATATGGAAAACAATCTCTGAGTGTCTATTATTCGTTGATTATGAGAGTGTATTTATTATTTGCATAATTGATGCCGGCTCAAACTTTAACTGGCGCCTCTCGAGGTCTCGCTCCGAAGGCCTCGTGCAGAGTAAACAGGAGCCCGACCCACACGGGAAGCCGGCAGATGAATTTCAATAGGGAAAACAATGAATAGGAATAAATTGCTGCTGTGAGCTGGGGGGGGGAAGAAAAGACAGCTGAAGTGCCACGTATGTGACAAAGCTAAACTGCGGGGCTGTGATACTTTGTGTGCGTCTCCACACAGATAGGGTGAGGTTCTGTCTCTTCAGTTCATGGTGGGAGAGGAGGGTCTGATGAGGGTAGGGCCCAGAATGCATTGCAGCATATTGAGTCATTTGATAGCACTCCCACAATCCTCCCACTTCGCGATTTCGCCTCCCACTTCCTGCAGCAGGCATTTGCTTACGCCGCCCCATGGGCCTCTCCTGGCCGGCACCGTCTGGGCATGTGACCGTGACGGCGTGATCAGTGAGTAAAAGTGAGTCAGACGTGTCGGATATGCGCTATATAGAAAAGTGGCCCATCGATTTCCCGTTGGAACTCCTTGTGGTTTCGGGAGCTTATTGAGCGTGGAAAATATCGCATCATAAAATCCTCTTTTGGCTCCCAGCACAGAAGCGCCGATCCGCTATGAATGGGATCCTCTTGGCTCTTGTGGTCGTAGTGGACCCGGTACTGGAAGCGCGGGCCTCGGGGCTCAGCACGGTCAACGCCGTTTCATTCAGCTGGTTGTTCGGAGCGGATTCTTTAACACACTGCTGGAATTTTCGCTCCCCCGAGTGAATCCCCTGCGAGGCAGGCGCTGAGACCTCCGTCTACCCCTCTCTCCTCCCCTGACAGTGTGCCAGATCGTCTCCAAGGGTGTGGTGGCAGTTCTGGGTCCCTCTGCTAGCCCGGCCTCCAACTCCATCATCAGCAACATCTGCGGAGAAAAAGAGGTGAGTGTCTCTGCAGCCCGTCCGGAGGAGCGGGGGAACGGAGGAGCGGGGGAACGGAGGAGCGGGGGAACGTCACAGCCTGTTGGCGATTGAGGGAAGATGAGGAATGTCCCTGACTGATGTTATAAATGGCTTGTCATCTTTGTTCCTCAAAGTGATGGGATCCTGGACACTTTTGACCTTTGCTGGAAGGATTGCGGCTCTCGATCACCTTCAGCTCTGTCAAAACGCTCTCAATCCACAGCTTTCTCCGCCCCCTAACGGCAAGCTACACCCACATTATGGGATCCTCTGATCTGTTCAGTATTCAGGACGTTTACCAGTAGACTCAACAGAGCTGGGGGGGGGGGGCATTTGGGTGTATTGGGTGGGCACCAGTGTTTTTTTGAATTTTGTTGTAGGTCTTCGGGCTTGACCCCTGGAGGGCAGTTCGACTGTGGCGTCAAAGTGCAATAAGTTTGGGGGATTGTTGACTGGGGGGTGGAGGTGTGGGGGGTTGCGATGGTAATAATTAAGTTTGGTATGGCAAAAGTAAAATTTGTTGACTGGGGGGGTGATGGTTTGTGAAAAGGGGGTGGTACTGAATAATACTCTGTTTCTTATAGGGGATCCCTGTGTTGTTATGGGGGGCCCCAGGATGATTATATTAAATCCCCAATGACTGGTTACACACCTCAGTTGGATGGGCAGATAATCCATTTGGGTTGGCTACCCACCCTCGGCCCACCAGTAGCCCAGTAACCACGCCCCTGGTTAGACTGGGACTTGTGACATAGTTACCCATGTGTCTGTACACCTGTGACTCCCAGGAATGACTGTCCCCAGCTTTCATCTCCTCCCTTTGAAGGCTTCACAGATCCTGCGCTGGTGAAGGGTTCCCGTCAAGCTCGCTGGCTTCCATGAGCTCGACGTTCCTCTATAACACTTGTGCTGGATTTAAGGTTCTTAGCTGCGGAATTTCAAGGAAGTCACAGAGGGTTTAGCTGAACAGTGTGATTGTCCTTTATCCTCTTAATGGGTCTTCATTAAAGGCTTTTTAAAATATCCCTTATTTCTGGGCTATGCTTTGTGCTCTTATGCTTTTTTTTCTGGTTTTAAATGTAATTTCTTTTTTAACTCTAATCTGGATTTATGTCATTCTGTCAAATAAATATTTAAAAATATATGCAAACAGAGGTGTATGGGGGCCAGATGCAGCCTCTAATTGCTTAGTAACTTTAGGCTGAAAATCAGATTAATTAATGCTGCGGGTGTCCAGCGTATTCCAGCTGATACTTTCAGGGTAGTTTCTGAAAATGGTCGCTCCAAGTGGCGACCAAACAAGAGATGGCTGTGGAAGGGAAAGGATGCGGGGGGGGGGGGATGATAATCTATGATGGCTGTATTCAGAATTTTCTTTCGCAAGCGGCAACCCCTCAGCTGGACTTGCCCCCCCACTGCGTAATTACACACTTACACATACATATCTGCACTGTGCATTTCCATGCAGTTTAGCGAAGCTGATTGCACACTTCAGAGCCTCTCTTTTCCATTTTATTGAAAGGAACTTGGAGCGCTTGACAATCCAGAATGTGGAAGAGACCTCACGCCCCCCCCCCACCACCACCACCTGCCCCACTCCAGACGAGCTGATTGGCAGGATGTTAATGTGGGCGGAGCTTTGGCTTTTCCCTCCACACATTCCTTATAAATTGTCCAATTAGCCATCACCTAATGCAAATTTCCATCCCGTTCAGGATGAAATGTTACTCTTTCATTATGTTAATTGCTGGATTGTCCTTGCTGCCCCTGCCCCACAGGGGACATTGCTGATTGGTCCGCCACAGCAACTGTCTCATGTGTTTAGGGTCGGTGATTGGCTGAGAGCCTGGGTCCTGCCCCTTAAGATCTGACTCCCTTTCCCATTTATTGTTGATTGGCCTAGAAAGGCAGAGCGAGCAACTGCTGCTGGCACCGGTGGAGTCACGCTTCTGTGACCCTGTGACCGATATTTTAACAATTCTTTAGAAACGGACCATGCAGATCCAGACTAGTACAATGTGTCTTTGAATATTTATGATGTTTTCATTGAAATAAGTCTGCAGTGTTTGCAAATTAGAGCTGTTAAACCGCTTGATTGAAAAATAAACACGCTGTACCTTATTACACCTGGAATTAGTAGCTCTTTGCATGCGGTGATTGTTTTTGTTTATGATGTGTAAAAATGACTCGAGTCCTTTTGAGGGCAAATTGATTTTCTGCAGAATCTCATCCCAGCCGATCCCCCACCACGCTAAAAAGTGAGCTCCTCCCGACATGCCGACTCACCTTCTCGTTCGGGTGTGTCCATCCACTAGGTGGCGTAGTGGTTAATGAAACTGGCTTCTTCTATACTCATCATGAGTGAGGCGCTCGAATCCAGGGAGCACTTTTGTTAGAAACACCTGCCAAGGAAAGAATATCATCATTTAATATCAGTGTAAATTTGCCCTCCAAGAGGCAAACCTAGCTCTCGGATGCTAGCGTTGACCCAGGGTGGGCTGCACTTAAATGGGGGTAAGTTTAAATGGAATGTAAACATGCGATGTAATCAGATCACAGCACCGTGCTCCAGTGGGTCGTTGTGTTTCCCCAGGCGGGGTGAGGCGTAATTTGGAAGATTGCACCGTCCGGTCAGGCATGAGGGATCCGGAATGAGCCCATTGCAGCCGGGACCTTCTGCTGAGTCATTGCTAAGGAGAGTAAAACTAATTAGCCAGTAAAATACCTCCCTTGGATTCTCCTTCGTTTGGCTCATCTGCCGTCCGCCCAGGTAATTCAGTGACATAGCTGGACAGGACGGGTGGGATTTAGGCCCAGTTTGAGCTTGGGTTGCGTCATATTTGCTTGGTGGTACAGGATGTTGGGGGGGGGGGCAGTATTAAAGCTTCAAGCTGCACTTTAACATGCAGGTTTTTCCTCGGGCCCCCACTCGTGCCTCAACTAACCTTATTTAATAAAATTTTCAACCCCCTCCACCCCTAACCCCCCACTGATCCTCAGGTTCTACTGATCCTCAGGTTCCACCAATAAACAGCTTCACCATCGTAGAAAACAATAGGGGGGGGGGGGTACACCGCCAAAATTAATTTAAAAGTTAAGTAAAAACAGAAATAAGCAGAATCCTGAGGCATGGTCGCTCACTGCGCTCCTTCCAGGGCGTCACGGTGTGCTTCATGAACTGGACATTAGTGCAATATTTTGTACATGCTACCTCAAATATTTCTGTCATTCCAGAATTTATTGTTGTCAGGGATATGAAATTTGGTCATAAATGCACACATTGGTTGGAGAATGAATGTTTTATTACCTTTGTTAGCAAACGGTCGCTAAGCGATGTGGTCGCTAAACATGGAGTGGTTGTGCCCGTAAGACGTCAATGTACAAACCAAGGAGAGGACCTACAGCTGAAGCGAGAGTGGTCCCTTCCGTTACCGTGGGGACCTGTTGCATCACGGAGGCCTAATAGACTGGGACTTGGGTTTCCCAAGGCCCATTGTGGGGATGTCCCCAACAAGCAGCGCCTCCGCTGGTACTGTAAAGCCTAGGTCACACTTTACGCTTTCATGCGCTTTTGGTCTGGGGGCGGTTGCTCGCAGAGCAGCTTGTGTTCATTCTGTGGAGGTGGATGGTTGCGGTCGGTGCATGTGTACTGCATTGATATTCCTCCAGACCAGCAAAGGGCAGTTGTCAACTGCTAGGTCTGAATGAAGCTTGCGCAAAAGAAGGATGAGATACGGTATATAACTGCAAGTTTCATGTCTTTTTGGATTTTTAAAACAATAAAAACATACCTTTCTTTTATAAACCAGCTCAACTTATGGCAGCTTTGTCTCAAAAAAAAACATTTGGACAGTAAATATGTTAATATTTATCTCTGCCCGTTCACGTTTCTCATTGAAAGTTCTATTCGATTCTTGTGATAAAATATGATTTTTGGGTAGAAATTAATAATAATCAAGACATAGGTGGAGTCCCTAAAAGGTCAGGGTGGGAAAACATTTTTCGAAATAGTTCTGCGATCCCTCTACACTTGCCCACTTGCTATTTGCTGCAACGTGACGGCGAGGATAAACCTAAATAATGTTTGTGTGCCCTTCGCGTTCAGTAGGCCAGCTGTCTTGTTTACAGTTACTGCCGGTGAATGGACACAATGCAATTTTTAATAAATACGTATGTTACATAGTGTGCATTTCCCCCCATAGTTCAATGCTTAAAGCAAACCTAACTGGACATGTCTGTATCGTCTATATCGTTATTGATTTATACTTATTAGTCCATTAATTCTATGTTTTGTACTTTGAACGGACACAGTACTGGTATTATTAGTAACGGAAAACCATTGCGTGGGATCGCAAAAAAGTTTCCAGAGTTATTGATATTTACTGTTTTGAGCTGAACAAATTGGGACAAAGTTTACATACATACCACCTACTGGATATCCTCCTGTGACCCAAGGGAAAAAGTGTCCTTCAATTTTAGGTTATTTGTCTTTGGAGGAAATAAGACATCTTACCATTTAGAATTTTTCAAATTTATTTTTATTTTTGATTTCACAGCATGTCCTCTTTAGTGTACAACAGGAATAAATATGTTTCCTTACATCAGTGAAAAGATAGATGCAAAAACAACATGTCCACTACAATGGACATAAATGAATGGGTGGGGTCTCAGGAGGGTATACCTAGTCCATTATCTTGCGCAGTCGACACACACTGTTTCCGCTAGAGATAAAAATCTGGGCTAGAAGCACACCGGCCGCAGCCGTCCAGCCAGCCTGATGACGATATTTACATCACGTCCCCTCATCCACAACTGAAAGCGTACGGGTAAAAGTGATGTATGAATAGGCTTTAAGATGCAATGGGGCCTTCTTCAAGACTAAAAGCCTTATTCCGCATGGAATCCACCTCTGTCTTCCTTTAAGCAGTGCTTGACTTCTTGTTGTGGCATTTTTCTATTTATTATGTTGTGGGGACCAG